AGTATTTGCTTTTATTATGACCATTTTTCGTAAACCATTATGGACAAATTTTTTTCGGGTAATTTTTTTTTTTTTTTTTTTTGTTATTGAAAATGTTTTATCAATATTTGTTTGTTTGTTTGTTTTTTTTTTTTTTGAAATATAATCAATCAAGAATATTCTCATAAAAAATGGTTATGTTTCAGCAAGAAAAGAACGAAAATTTATCGAATCTGGTTGGGCATTTTCATTCTATTCATTAACAACTATTATCGCTTTTTATATTATTCGAAATAATGATTTTCTAAATGATCCAAGTCGTATATTTGCCGGTTTGTTGTCTATTTAATTGAATTTCCAATTCTTTTTCTTATTATTATTCCTTTTTTTAACAGATTTTCAAATTGAACAACCAATACCATCAACAATAAAATATTTATATTGGATGGAAATCGGTTTCTACATACATTCAATATATGCTGTTTATTTTATTAATTCATGGAAATATGATTCATTGGTTATGATTATACATCATGCTGTTACATTATTTTTATTATTATTTTCTTATTGGGCTAGGTATGTTATTATTCAAAATTTATTAATGAATTTTTCTCATTCTTTTCTTCCAATAGAGTTTATAATGTTGGTGTTGTAGTAATATATTTTCATGATATCTGTGATGTCATACTTGAAGGAAGTAAATGTTTAGTTTGTTTAAAATTTTCATTAATCAAATATCTTGAATCAAAAATACGTATTATTAATCTAATTTGGTTTATTGTTGCATGGTTTTATTATCGTATTTATCTATTTCCAATGATTGCACTAATGGAATCGATAAAATTTATCAATACAACACTTACAAATGATTTATTAACATTTGTATATGGTCTTTTTATATTCTTATGGATTATTTATTGTATGGATATATTCTGGGCTGTGGTAATTTATTCTTTTATATATATTATTCATTTGTTTCATTTATTGATTCATTTTCTTTCTTTTTTTTTATCATTTTCTTTTAGCTAATCATCAATTTAATCATCAATAGTGTATGGCGTAAAAATCGTATAATAGATGATCCACGTGATTCTGATGGTGAAGATGATGATGATGAAATGGTGGATAATAATTCAAATAAAAATAAAAAAGATTAATTATAATCATATTTATATATTTTAAAGTATTAATTAATGATAATCTAAACAACAACAAAAAAACAATAAATGATGATGATGATGATGATGAGAATTACAAACAAACAAAAAAATGAAATTTTGTTTTCGTTTTTTTATTTTTTATTTTTCAGAATTTAGAATTCATCTTTAAAAAATGCAATATCTACTTGAGCATCATTCGAATTCATAATAACATGATGATAAAAATTAACTAATTTTAAGTAGTTATCTTTTGATATTCGTTCATTATGGCCATGTACAATTGAAAATTGTTCCAATGTAATATAACCGGGTGAAAAACGATAAATATTATTTGTAAAATTTAGATACCAACGTGTATCGGTTGCAGCATACATAATACCCGGTATGATTGCAATATCAGGAAATACCTGTTGTATACTTTGTCGTATTGTTTGATAACCAAATGAATCATGACCATATGATGATATTGGATGTGGTTGTATGGCAACACCTAACACTTCAACTTTAATCTGATCATCATTAATTATTTCAATATCACGTCTTAATACATCTTCAACACGATTTAATGGATAAATACGATGATTTACAATTGCTTCAGCTTTACCCGGTAATACATTATCCTAAATTTTGAAATTGGAATTGAATAAAGAGTAAATCAAATTAAACAAAAGAGAATAATACCTTGATTCCGCTGGTAAATATCGTTACAGCTGTAGTTGTCCGTATAAAGCTATTCATTAATTTATCATTTTCAAGTAATTTAGCCACTAATGGTGAAAATAGCCATAGATTTGTATACATTATTCGATATGGTAATGAACAATATGGTGCTAATGATTCAATCATATCTTTTTCCGGTCCATGACCAAACAGATTTGGATGACTATCGGCATTTAATTTAGATACAGCTTTAGCTAAACGAACAATACTGGTCTGTTTGGGTGGTAATGATGAATGTCCAACAGCACCATCCGTACTTAATTTTATATTAACCAAACCTTTTTCAGCAACACCAATCATCGCTACATCACGACTAACACCCGGTATTGCATTACGAAATATGTATGGTCCTTCATCAAGTATATATTCAACATTATCCATATTATTTTCAATCATATATTTAGCTATTTGTGCTGCACCATCTAATCCACGACCTTCTTCATCATGACCGATAGCAATATAAAATGATCGTATGATTGGATTTTTATTTTCCAATATAAATTCCAATGATTCCATAATACCCTTGTAATATAATGATGAATACAAAAAAAAATAATCAATTTTATTTAGTTTGAATGAATTCGTATCGACAAAAGGATAAATACCATAACAACACTTTTTAAATCTAATGCACCACGACCATAAATATAATCATTAAAAATTTGGCCTTCGAATGGATGAAAATCCCACATATCTTCTTGTACGGGTACAACATCCATATGTGCTAATAATAAATATGGTTTTAATTGTTGATTCGATCCATTTATTCTATATAAAAGACTTAATTCATTTACAATTGTTAATTCTACTGATGGTGATGAATGTATCAATGGAAAACCTATCAAATATCGAAGAAACAAAAAAAAACAAAGCAAAAATTAATCAATCAATCAATCAATTAATTAATTAATTAAACAAACTTGAATTTAGAAAACGATGAAATTTTAATATTTCATTACGATCATAATTTTTTGGACGTCTTGTTATTGTACGAATTTTTAATGAATCCTGTAATCGTTCGAATATACCACGTTCAGCTGTAATTGCTTTATGATTAATACCATATAATGGTATATAATTTTCATTTGTTGGACAATATGAATTGACCATATATTGTTGTACTAATAATGTACGACAAATTATAATCAATGATAAAAATGTAAATGAAAATAATAATATAAATATGGCCACTTTTATCACATCACAAATTTTAATCTTCATTTTTTTTTTGTAGCAAAAATGATTGTTTTATTTTTATAATTGTAAAATTTGGGAAAAATAGAGAAAAAATTTATATTTAAAGATTCAAAACAATCTAATAAAACACTAATATGGATATATTTTTGGATGTAAAGAAAAAACAAAAATCAAAAATAAACTCCCATTTCATGTTTGAATATATCAAATAACATGATAACATAATAATTGATGATGATTATGATGATATGATCAACAAGTAAAATTCAATATTATTAGAATCACATGTATCATCGATCGATCGATCGATTGATTGATTGATGTCATGAACAAGGTCGATTTATCAATTGAAAAAAATTGAAAAAAATTTCCATCATCATCAAATTGAATCCAATATTGGGATTCAGTAATTTTTTTTACGAATTCATTTTTTTAAGACAACAGATATAGATCGTTGTTGTTGTTGGAGAGAAAACAACAACTTTTTTTTGATCAATTTTTAACTTTTTAATTTTCAAATTTTTTTTTTCAAATGACCAAAATTTAGGGTACGCGTGTGTGTGTATAACTTGTTTATTTACTTTGTCTGCATGGTTTGAATTATCATCTACCAAAAACAAAAATGCGAAAGAGAATGTTTGTGTGAGAGAGAGAAAGATAAATATGGAAAAAAAAGATTTTCCATTTTGGAAAATGATAAACCAAAATTTGAACCAAAAAAAAAAAATGGAAAATCAAATCAAAATAAAACGAGGTTAACACCATTGAAATGAGATAACATCGATACAGTAAATGATGGAAAAATTCTCATTTCAAACAACACTCTTGTTTTTCATCATCATCATCATCATCAATTTCCTCAATCTAAAATTAATGCGAATATAAATGATGTATATCGACTTTTTATATTTCTCAATTTATTTTTTTTTTCTGGTTAAAATTTGATATTTTTTTTCTCCCAAATCTCTCTCTCTTTTCAAAATGATAATCTAGTAATTTCTAGTTACAAATATTGATAGTTTGGAGTGTTTCTACAGAGAAACCCTTTGTCATCATCATCATTCATCATTCAACACGAATCAAGAATTTTGTTTCGTAATCCAGAATGGAATTTTAAATTCTATCATTACAAAAAAAAAATTACAAAATATCTCAAATGCCGATTTGATGAGCCATCTATTGAGCGAAAATTAAAAAAAAATCTTTGTTTGGAATCAAGATCAATAGATGGCAATCAAAGCAATAGAAAGAAAGAAAAAACGTTCGATTTTACAAAAATCGAGAATCGAAAATTCCAAAACGTTCAAATGTTTAATTCTTCTGTCAAAAAAAAAAATTTCAATACATCCTTTTTGCATGTCAACCCTTCATTACCCTTCATTATCATCATAATCATTTAGTAGCAGAATAAAATTTAATCAATTTTAATTTTTAAAAATTTTATTTGTTGAAAAAATTTTATTTTTTCCAATAAAAATTGAAATGAAAACAAATAAACAAACAAACAAACATGGAAAGAAGAAGAAGAAACAAACAGGAAAAAAAATATAATAATAGTCATTTGAATGATAAAACAAACAAATAGGGAGAAAGAGAAAAGGGGAAAAAACAATGATGGTTTTATGGTGGAAATCAATAACATTTGTCAAAAAAAAGAAAAAAGAAATGTTTTTGTCATTCGTTGAATTTGGATTGAATCAGATTTGAAAAATATTGATATTTTGTGATTTTGATTGCACCAGAAATTGTTCTGTTGTTTTTTCAAATTATATAATTATAATTATCAAACGAATCATTGAAATGAAATTTTTTTATTAAATCGATAATTAAAATTCATCATCATCATCATCATCATCATGGAAGAGAATTGAGAAAGAATGGAAAAAATTCTGATGACAATTTTGTTGTTGTTGTTGTTGTCTGAATCTGAAATATTATAATGATCAACAACATTCATTTCATTAGTTTGTTGTTGTTGTTGTTTTGATTGAAATTTTGTTTTCAACAACAACAATCATTTTGATTGATTGATTTTGTTTAACCCTTTTTTTTCTCCCGGAAAAAAAATAATAAAGCTGTCATTTATGTCGGTGTGTCCAGTGTCCAAAGGAAAAAGTAACAATGTCTGTTTCCGTGTTAATGATGATTGTATTTGTTTGTTTTTCTTAATTTATAAATGCAAATTATAATAATTGATTTGGAAAGAAGAAAATACTTGAAATGAATTCTCTGTGTGTGTTTGTGTGTTTATCAATTTATTTAATTATGATGATTATGATGATGATGACTAAAAAACATATTTAAGAAACCAGACGAAAAAAAACATTATAATGATGCTTCAGTGTTTTTTTTTTGGAAAAGGGGGAATCGGAAACGGAAATTTCCATTTTTTTCAAACGAAATGTAAAATTCTTGAAGAATTTTAATAAGAGAGACAGAGACACAAGGAAAAAGAAATGTTTTACAATAAAGACAAATGATGATGATGATGATAACGATAACTAACGAATGAATGAATGAATGAACGAACATCTAAAATGATAGAATATTTTTTGCCAAGTTGAATTTCTCTGTTTGTGTGGGTGGTTAGGTTAATGTTAATGTTGTTAACATGATGGTCATGGAATAATAATGTTGTTGTTGTTGGTTTGCTATGATGATAACTAACATTTTGTTGGTTGACATTTAGAATAGAGTGAAAAAACAACAACAACAACAAATTTGAAAAAAAAATTTAAAAAAACTAAAAAAAAGTGAACAAAATAATATCTAAGGTATATATATGTTTCTGATGAAAAAAATTTCAAACATTCAATTCCCATGATGAAGTGGGTGGGTGTGTGCGTGGGCGGATGAAATAACGAATGAAATGGAATGAATGAATGAATATAAATGCTTATAGTATTTGAGACGAATGTAATACATTAACAACAACAACAACAATGACAGAAATAAAAAATATGTGTGTGTTTAGATGGGGTTAATAATGATGAGCATATGTTGATGATGATGATATTGGAATTTTATATTTTATATTTTTATTGATCGAATATATTCAATGATAATGATGATGATGATATTTGTTGTTTAAAAAATGTGATTAAAACAAAAGAATATACGAATGAAAAACAGAATAACAAATTGAATAATAATAAGATAATTAAAGATTATGTTCGTGTGTTTGTGTTTGTTCGTTTCATAATAATAATAATAATAACGATAATAATAATATGTAAAAGATATGCAAATTATAATGCGCAGCTATGATGATAATGATTGATTGAAAAACAACAAAAAAATGCAATTGACAAAGAATTTTTCGAAAGGGTTAAAATGAATATTTTGTTGTTGTTGTTGTTTTTTGGTCACATAAAGTATAGAATAATGCAAATAGATAATAAGAAAAAAGAGAGAGATCTTGAATGTTCAATATATAAAAAAAGAGACATTCATTCGTTTCAAATGATAAAATATTGTTTTTAAAATTATTTATTTGGTTTGATTTTGATTATGATTATCAGCTAATAATTGTTGATCAATATCTGAATTTATTGATAAATTATTTGCTGCTGTTGTTGTTGTTGTTTGTACAGTGATTGTAGCCGCAATAGCCATTGTTGATGATGGTGATAATAATTGTCCATTTAATGATGGTGATGATGATTGATGTTCAGTATTTTTTATACTGTCATCAATCATCATCTTGGATTCTTGACCCTGTTGTTGTTGTTGTTCATTAATTCGGAACTAGTTTTGATTTTTTAAAGTTTTTGTTATTATTCATTAAAACATAATGTTAATTAAATAATAATACTAACCATAACAAGTTGATGAAAACGTTTTAAATAATTAACACGTTCTTTACGTAAACGTAAACATTCAGATTTATAATGTTCAGCAACTTGAATTGATTCTGAATAACGTCGTTCAAGATCTTCTAAATATTCTTTTTTTCTTTGTCTTGAACTTTGTGCTGAACGTTTATTACGAATTTTACGTCGTATTTTACGTAATATTTTTTCCTCTAATTTTGTTAATGATCTTGCATCGGATGGAAATGTTGGATGACCTGTTGATATAAAACAAAAAAAAACGCAGGTGATAAAATTAGTAAGAGGAAAAAAGGTGAGAATAAACATTAACGGTAAACAAGTACAAAAATTAATCAAATTGACATTGAACGGAAAAAATGATTAAAATTTGTTTTTTTCCATTCATTATCATCAAAGTTCAATGTTTGTTTGCTTTTTTTTGCTAACATCAAACAAATTTGTATCAATTTCATTCAAATTGCTTGCTTCGATTTTTTTTCTTTTTATAATTATCATTGCTTACATAAGCAATAATTAAGCCAAAAATAAAATTAATCATTATGATAATCATTTTCACATTACAAATATATTCATCAAATTTTGATGACATATATGAAAAATCTTTTATTCATTCAAATGGACAAAGAAACAAATTATCAAATTTCTGAATGAAAAAAAATCAAATCAAACGCAGAAAATTAATTTAAAATTAAACAAACAAACAATTTTGTTTCGGTGTTCAATTTCAAAACACCTTGATTATTCAAAAAAAAAAAAAAAAAATTCAAACTGAGAAAACATCAATTGAAACGATGAAAGAAAAAAAAAATTAAAAAATCGG